GACGATGTTAGCAAGGTATGAGAATTGATTGAATAAAATATAAATTCATTAATATTTCGAAGAAAACGAATTAATAAAAAAAGAAAGATATAATAATAATAATAATAATAATAATAATAATAATAATAATAATAATAACAATAATAATAATAATAATAATAATAATATTCATAAAAATAATAAATAAATAAATAAATAAAATTCAAGTAAAATAAAATAATTTTTCTTTCTCTCTTCTCTTTTTTTTTTCTCTCTTTTTTATTTTTTTATTTCTTCTTTCTATTTAAATCGAAGAAGAAGAAGAAGAAGAGAAACCATATTGTCTTGATTCGCAATATGTCGCAATTTTTCTTAGAAACAGTTTCTTCGATTCGGTATCATGCTCAGACGGTTAATTACTTGAAAAACGTAATTGCCAATGTTCGAGCAATAATTAAGAGCGTTGACGTTGAACTAATTACAATTGACTTTTTCTTTCTCTTTATTTTCTCTCTCTCTCTCTCTCTCTCTCTCTCTCTCTCTCTCTCTCTCTCTCTCTTTCTCGCGTACCATCCTTTCTTCGTTCTTTTGATCACAGACCTGTATTTTCTCAGATTAAGAAAAAAATATACCGAAATATATGATCGAAGTTAAATACTCTTTTATTTCAAAGTTTTGCCGTATTCATTTTATTTTCAATATAACTTTTCTCCCCTTTTATTCTTTATAATTCATTGCGATTTAATAATAATCTAACGTCATTCATATTAATTCATTATATATTATTATATAAAATCTTTAAAACAATTTATTATATACAATTTATACATTAATTCATTAGATTTATTTTCTTTTTTTCGATATTAAAATGACTTGTTTTTATTTGCCTTCTTTGACTTTCTTTTTTTCTTTTTTTTTTTTTTTTTTTTTTTTGTTCAAATATTTAATTTTTTAATCGAATAATAATACGCAATAAAGTTGTCCATCAATTTGATACGTCATTCATACTCATATACATATAAAATATCACATTGAAATCATTGAAAAGTAATAATAATAATAATAATAATAATAATAATAATAATAATAATAATAATAATAATAATAATAATAATAATAAATAACAGTCTCCGTTCTTTGATATCTAACGATTTATAATACTTTTCTAAGTATCGCGTGAACGAAGAAGTCGATTATAGTTTCCACCTAAACGTTTCTATCATGCTAACGATAAGCTACGAGCAAAATCGTTAAGATAAAAGTTTCCTCTTTTTCTCTGTCTCTTTCTCTCTCTCTCTCTTTTTTTTTCTCTCTATTTTTCGAGATTTAACATAAAATTAGATTTAAAAACAAAAAAAAACTCCCTCTCTCCCTCCTTCTCTCTCTCTCTCTCTCTCTCTCTCTCTCTCTCGCGTTATTTTTTTCACGAGCATTCAAATATTCATTTGTTCAAATCAAAAATTTGTCCTCCTTTCTTTTTCACTTTCTATCTTCAATTTTGTTTTTTTTTCTTTTTTTTTTTTTTTTTTCTTTCTTTTTTCCTTTCCCATAAACACCGAATTTATCATAATCATAGTGATTCCAAGGCATATCTCACAATCTCCTTTCCCCTCAATCTCTTTCTGCTCTCACGTGCACCATTTTTTTGTTTTGTTTTGTTTTCTATTTTTCTTTTTTGTTACATCAACGTAGGATTTCGTTTAAAATGAATGTGTATGTATGTGTGTGTGAGAAAAAGAGAGAGAGAGAGAGAGAGAAAAATGGGAAAGGGGGAATGAGAGAGAAAGATGAAGCAGTGGAATTCAATTAATTTTAATATGAAAACAAGACTGTTTACGCTTCCATAAATTCGTACGGAACTTTCAAAGCCCATTTGATTTTGCTCGCTCGCTCGCTCGTTCGCTTATTTGTTACTGACTGCTCACATTTTTCTCCTTTATCTTCCATTTTTTTTTTGTTTCCTTTTTTTTTTCCTTTCCCTTTTTCTATCCTACCCCCTATTTACGATCGATATATTACGATATTACATTTTTAGTTAAGAATGAATTTTGAATTCTTCGAAATACTTCAATGAGATTAATGACTCAGGGATTGCTTTTTCATAAACGTTTGTTTTTATAAACATAAACGTTTTTTTATAAAACATTCTCTCTCTCTTTCTCTCTCTCTCTCTCTCTCTCTCTCTCTTTCTCTTTAATTCTTTTTCTTTTTCTTTCTCTCGTTCCGTTTGGCAGAGAAGAAAATTTATTGTCTTGTAAATATATATATATATATATATATATATATATATATATTTTTTTTTTTCTTTAATAATATCAAAAATGATAATATCGATTATATATAAACTCGTCGATATTTCTTTTGTTATAATATTGATCATATATATATATATATATATATATATATATATATATATATATATATATATTATAATTCAAATAAAAAGTAATATAAATGTTAGAAAATAATTATTAATATTAAAAAAAAAAAAAAGAAAAGAAATTAATTCGAATACGTAAAATATTCTTTTATCAAACTCGCATCGTATATGCATCTATCAAAAGATAAATTTAATCTATAAATAATTTTAATATTTGTAAACAAAACGCGTTATCGCAAATGATCTTGAAATAGTAATTAATGTTTCATATTATCTAGACTCGCACTGTACGTATACATGTACCAAAAGATACGACTTATAAATAATATGTATGTATATATATATATATATATATATATATATATATAACCAAAGTATATATACACAAACACACGCTCGCATAATTGGGCCAAAAAGAAAATAAATAATTCTGCGTATAGAGATGTTCCGACATTAGAAAAAGATGTTTCTAGGGTAGACCATTTTATTTCTTACGAGAGAAAAAGAAAAATGCGAGATCTACGAAGACGTAAGAGATTTATTACGGAAAAAAAAAAAAAAAAAAGAAAAACAGAAAAAAAAAATAAAAATAAAATAAAGCAAAATAAAAAAAGAAAAAAATAAAAAGAAAAAAAAAACAAAAAATAGAAAAACAGTAAAGAAAGAAAAAAGAATGCCGACTGCTTTTCATCCCCTCACTCTCTCTCTCTCTCTCTCTCTCTCTCTCTCTCTCTCTCTCTCTCTCTCTCTCTCTCTCTCTCACTCTCTCTGGCGAGAATGACGAAAATGTTTTCAACGACGCGAAATTAACGAGATACGAACACAAGAACTGTTCGTATCGTAAACACATACAAAGAGAGCGAGAGAGACACACACACAGAGAGAGAGAGAGAGAGAGAGAGAGAGAGAGAGAGAGAGAGAGATTTCTATGGAATAAAAAAAAAAAAGAAATAAAAAAAAGACTTACAAGAGAAATAGTCTCTCTCTCTTTCTCTCTCTCCCTCTCTCTCTCTCTCTCTCTCTCTCTCTCTCTCTCTCTCTCTCTCTCTCTCTACGACAGAACATGGTTAAGAGAAGGGAGTGAGGGAGGGAGAGAAAGGCCAGCGAAAAGAAAAAAGAAAAAGGGAAATAAAAAAACTTTTACGCCGTCTTCCTACCTACGAAGCTTTCTTCGTCTTTTCTCTTTCCTGTCTTTCGCGATATCGAGCTCGAAAAAGGGCTTGGAGAGGTCAAAGGGTACACGATCATTGGAAGAAGAACCTTTTCTCCCCCCTTTTTTTTTTTTTTTTTCACTAACACACTATATAAGAAATACGAAGAAATCCGTACTCGTTAAGGATTTTCCCTTTTTTTTCGTTTCTTCTTCAAACTCCTGCTTTTCTTCCTTTTTTCTCTCCCTTTTTCTTTTTTTTTTTTTTTCTTTTTTTCCTTTTCCTTTCCATTCACTCTTTCTTCTTCTTCTTCTTCTTCTTCTTCTTCCTTATCCTTCACGGTCAATACGATTCCTTAATACATAATGTTTTTCCTCTTTTTCCTCCTGCTTCTCTCCTTCTCTCTTCTTTCCGTTTCTCTTTTTTTTTTTTTCCTCTTCTTTCTTTTTTATCCTCTATTTTTTTTTTTTTTTTTTTTTTTTTTTTTCTTTCTTTCTTTTACATATTCTTTTATAAGAGAGACATTGAAGAAGAAAAGTTCTTCTCCCAAGTGGGAAACATCAAAATCCTCTTCGAGGATTCGCAAAGAATTCGTTAAAAAAAGAGAAGAGAGAGAGAGAGAGAGAGAGAGAGAGAGAGAGAGAGAGAGAGAGAGAGAGAGAGAGAGAGAGAGAGAGAGAGAGAGAAAGGTCTTTAAATGAGAAGAGAGATGAAAGAAAAAAGGATTTTATGGTTTGAAAGAGGGAGATTTTTATAGAGGGTGAAGAACGTCAAAGAGGTACTTTTCGTGACTTACAAAGAAAAAAGAAAAAGAAAAGAAAGAAAGAAAGAAAGAAAACAATTACATTTTTTCGAAACTTTTAAGACTCGTATTTATGATCGTAATTATTACAAACTAAATCTTTAGTTTTAACGATAAAGAAAATAGGATAGACTAAAACATACCTCCCCCTCCTTTCACCAAAATGACCAATTTATTTTTATGATCATTTAAAAACTTTTGATCTCTTAATATCCATTAACTGATTAAATTAAAAATAAAGATAACATTCGTATTTCACTTAT